CTTCGACATGTGGTGGGAGGAGCCAGGGACCGAACCAACAACCTTCCGATTAGGGGGCGACCCGCTCTACCTCTGCGCCACAGCTACCCATGTAATACAGCAGTTCCCATACCACAGCCAGTTCTAATGAAAGAGAACACAAAGACCAGAAAAGTTCAAGTACAGAAAGATGCTAATTAATTTCTAATGTGACATCCGAATATTCTTCCATCAAACTAACTTTCACCTTTGACAAATTGCCATCATAATTGTGTTGATTTTTCCGGGTGAACACACATCTCCATTTGCAAAATTAAATTGGTCAAAAGTAATCAAATTATGCTGCAGGTGAGTGCAAGTGCTCATTTGCTGCCGTGGCGACCGGGCGCGTTAATGTGATTGTTTTGTCAGGTGAGTTGACGCATCATTAACCCCCCCCTCTCACACACCCATCCTTCCCCCCTCCTGATAGACTAATGGGGTCATTAGCAAGAGACAAAATTCCCCAGGAACACATATCGGCACAATTCTGATGTGGAAAACTGGGACTACAGCTGGAAAACATCTGTGACGGGAGGAGCCCTCATGCTAACCCAGTGACAAACCCCACAACCAGGCCCTCCTCTCCCTCTGAACATCAAAGGCTGGCTTCTGAGTTTGTGCTTGCCCTCAGTGAAGACATCGAGGATGGTAGCCTGCTTAAGATCCAGTATAATAGTAAACAGAAAATACCACAGCAACGTCTGCTCCATGAAGCAAAGGGAAATCAAAGTCAGTCAAACAGTAACACATTGATATTCAAATATTTATGCATCTGCGAGGCTCTGATTTCAGGTTTTAAAAGACCAGAAAACATGACACACAACTAGGCCTGCTTTGATGTATGCATGTAAGATGCAGGTTTGATCTTGCCTAACTAGGATGCCTTTCATTAATAGTACATGGCAGTGTTCGGTAAAGCCTTTCTTTATGTTTATTTGTTTGAAGAATGCAGGACAAAAAATATCTCCAAATTACCTGAAATACATATTTAAATATTTCTAAAATATATTTGAGCAAAGAGAACAGCAAAAAGGCGGAAGGACATCTCCAAAAAGTCAAAGCACGAACTTTGTAGTTGTAAAAATAAATAAATAAAAAACTTTAAGCAGCTACATGATTAAAAGACGGCTGCACATCTTCAATACAGTGTTCCTCATCTGGGTCCTTTTAAATGAATCTGACCCAATTCATCATCAAGACCTTGAGTTGCCTCACTTGATCCTTATGTATGTTTAAAACTGGTCCATCAACATTTTAATAGCAGTTTTTGCTTTATTTGATGGCAGGTATCTCATTTTGAATTAAAACTCTACAGCAAAGGGAAAGCGGCAAAAAACAAGGCAGGTAAAGACCGGGACTTGATATAATCCAACCTTCATGTCCACATAACAAATACATGAGCTAGCTGACAGTAAATGCCACTGAGTATTTGACTAAAAGTCAACAAGCAGACAGATGAAGGAAGGGAGTCCATCCCAGTGGGGTGGACAGTTTCAAAGACGGAGAGGATCAAAGTATCGGAGATCCATTCCGGGTCAATGGAGCTGAGTTTCTGAGTGCTGCCCTCCGATTCCTGTCAAGCAGCTATCCAGTCAGAGACGCAGGGGGAGACAGTGGGACGCAGGGAGGAAGGTGTGAGGAGGTCGCTGCAGAGAGTGAAAGAAAAGGACACTGGTGCTGCAGCAATGCTTACAGGCCAGTAGTCACAGTCTGAGAGAGAGGCTAGGGAAGAGGAATACCTAACTCATAGAAAGTTAAATATGACAATTTGGGAAATGGGAGGTGCGCCCAG